GGGGGGAGAATGTTGGAATCAAAACTTGTCAAGGCACCATGAATAAGTTCATTGTATCAAAAGATGAAACACATTAAAAACTTATAGAAGAATAAATCAAATTAACTATTGGTTCTTAAAAGAGTCTATTTGAAAAGAGAGATTTATATTAAATGTAATGAATGTAGTGTATCTATGGGGGATTATTTAAACCGGTTGGGCCGTGAAATATAGAGTTACATAGAATATTTTGCCTTGACCTATTCTTTATTTGTGTGATAGTTCTTTCTCCTTTCACTATATATATATATATATATATATATATATATATATATATATATATATATATATATATATATATATATCAACCAACGTCATATTTCATATTTGTCTTTTATTGGTGTGGGAGAACATGGAATCTCTATAGACTCTTTGTGGATCTAAAACCCTCTAAAAATTATTATGTCGAGGGTGCATCGCTTCTCTGATATTTAAGTTTGTATAGGAAATGATATGTTAGCCAAATGTCAAGTCTTCTTGAGCCGAATGTACAAAGAGCTTGTGATTTTTTTAGTGTGTTAAGCAACGCACCTTAAAGGGCCTTTTATAATATAGTTTTAGGACTGAAGATATGTATTAATATCGGGGTGATTATTCACTTCTCCCGATCCTAATGGAATCATGTTATGTCGAATCCAAGGAACGTGCAATAGCCTTTAAGAATCAAATCGTTGATGATACATCGTTTAGGTGCATTGACAACCATGATACTAAATCTTTAGAAGACATGAATCATCTCTATATATCTCTATATAGAACCTCCATCACAACTCTATATAAAGTCCCATCATCAGCAAGACACAACAACATCAACTCAAGAACAACAAGCCAACATGGCCAACAAAGTAATTCTCATAGCATGTTTGTTGCTGGTGCTCTTGGCGATGGCCTTTGGTGAGTCTATTTATTCTATCCGAGCATTGCATGCGTTTCTTTTCCTAGTGGGTTTTGAGACGTCATCGTTGCTTTCCTGCAGGTGTTCAAAACGCCATGGCTTCTCAAGTCCAAGCAAACACATGCAACTTTGACAAGGATTGCAACTGTGGAAACTGTATCGCGAGGTGCATTTTCCATCGATGTGTCTGTGGAAAATGCTAGTAACTTGTAGTGTCAAGTTGACTTCATCCGAAAACAATAAATTCGACTGCTCCTCGTACTTGTTGTTTGTGTAATTGGCAATAGCCTTGCATACATGAAGGAGATGCATATTAAATTGACTGCTCTGTTTGCCTCATGAACATACGTCACCTATATGTATCCTAAAACTAAATCTCATAATTAATACTTTTTAAGCCAAAATATAGTTGTTGGATTGGGATATTAATTCGGAGCTAACCAAGGTCTTTTTTTTTTTCTTTCTATCTATGATTGTTGTTGATGAATGTTGACTAACGTTTGAGGAACCTATGTACAAAAGAGCTTGTGAGTTTTTTAGCGTGTTGACGAACGTATCTGAGGGGGCCTTTTATAGTATGATTTCAGGATCGTTATCTCATGAATATACGCATTGATGTCAAGAATAGTTATGTACTTCTCTTGGTCCCAATGTAATCATCTTGTGTTAAACCCAGGAAATATATAGCATTCGAGGGTGGTGCTATGTCTAACATACTGCCATGTCTAACATACGACATTGAATGTTGGGGATATGATTTTATGAAAATGTGAGGAACATGGGGGGTAGTTATTGGTCATGAAGATACATCACTTATATATATGTTCTAAAGTTAAATCTCATTATTAGTACTTGCTAAGCCAACCGAGATCATATTTTGTGTTGATTATTGTTGGAGAATATGGAATCTCTATGGATTTTTAGGGAATGAGATGTCAACTAAATATCAAGTCTTCTTAAGTCAAATATACGAAAAGCTTGTGATTTTTTTTTGACTTGATGAACATACTTGAGAGAGCCATTTATGATATGATTTAAAGACCATTATGCTCAAAGATACACGTTGATATCGGGGGCCAGTTATGCACTTCTCCCAGGTACATCGAATCCAGGAAACGTGCAATAGCCGTGATGTGATTGGTAACATTTAGCGGATGATGTCATCTCAATCATATAATATTAAAATGTCAAAACATGATATTGAAGTGTTAACTATGTAATGAATAGGTGTTGACTGTGACAAATAGGTGTCGTGTCATCATGAATGCACTATATATATATATATATATATATATATATATAAAGAGGGAGAATGCATCTCCTAGAATTGGAGGGGATCCCAAGTGGCACACAACGCATGCTGTTTACCACGAGCTAAAAAGTAGCTTTAGCTTTAAGAACTAATGCAAACGTGGGTGTATTTGAGAATATATTTGAAATGTGTATATTTCAAATGTAAATTAGTATTTGTTAAAAAAATTTCAAATCATATTTAATATGTCATTGATACCGCGAGTCGGCTCAGTTGATTCACTAAGGTGCAGGTTCATCCTCATGTCTCCTCTGATGTGGGAATGCTGATGTAGCAAACCAACTTAAGAGGTCTGTAAGAGAGGTGGTTCGTCGAGATCGATTTGGCCTGGTAGCGGTGAGGCCAGGTAAAGGAACTGAGATTTGCTTGGTTGCGAGGTTCTCTCTTGATTCTTGGGTCATCTTCGGGTAGTGGTGTTGTCTCTTGGCTGACAATGGTTCTATACACCAGGTCTGCATCAGGGGGTTTCCTGACCCCTTCGATGCTTAAGTTAGCGAAAGGTAGAAGGGGAGGAAGACAATACTTAGGGGTAGTTTTTCAAGGTACTCTTTGACTTTATCTAAAACTATAAGATTGCCAAAATGATTTAGTGAGAAATCAATATGATTTTTTATAAAGATAAAATTTTATTTATTTATGTTAAAAATTATGTATATTTATTTATATGATTATATTTTTTAATTATATATTTGGGTAAAATAATTTTTTTTATAAGATTAAATAAATATATTTATTTAAAAGAAAAAATATACATACTTTTAAATGAATATTAAAAATATTAGAATGGTAAATTTGTCATTAAATTTAAAAGAATTTTGAAATATAATTTTACAAATAATACTCAATGCATATTTAAAATAAAATTTTCATCTATCATTAATCAAATATTCAAGACATTTCATATGTTCGTCAACTATATATTAAAAATATAAATACGTTTGATGCGGAGCGTCTCCATTGCATCCATTCCTCCGCACCTCTTTGTATGAGCAAGACGACGTTGCTGAAAGAAGCTCAAAGGTTTCATGCCGCCTTGCTTACATCTGGCTTCCGAAATCACGCCTACCGTTGCAACCTGCTGCTCCGCGCCTACGCTCGATGCGGCGCCCTGTCCCACGCCCGTTCCCTCCTACTCCAAATGCCCCTCCCCACCCTCGTCTCCTTCAACACCCTCCTCTCTGGCTTCGTCCGCTCCGGCCGCATCGACGACGCCATCGACCTATTCGACGCCATGCCGGCCACCGATGCTCACTCTTACAACACCGTCATCTGCGGTCTCGTCCGCATCCACCGCGTCCGGGAAGCCTTCGCTCGTTTCCTCCGCATGGCCCGCAGTCATGTCAGGCCCGACGACTTCACCTGCTCGACGATCGTCGCTTGCTGCGATCTGTCTGGGGGGCGACAGCTCCATGCGCTGATGGTGAAGGTCGCGTCGCTGACTTCAGACCCTTTTGCTGGCACCAATCTGCTGAGGATGTACGGGGACGCGGGTGAGATGTGTGACGCAAGGAAGGTGTTTGATGAAATGGGTCACCGGGACCTGACGTCGTGGAATGTATTGATAGATTGTTATTTTAAATCTGGGATGGGCGAATTATGCATCAAGATATTCGTGGAGATGGTCAGGGATCGAATTCGACTGGATGAGTTCACTTTAGCAACCGTTATGAACGAACTTGCAAGCTGCTCGTCGGTGAGCAAAGGCATGCAGGTGCATTCATTGGTCGTGAGAGCCGGGTTTATTATGGATCGTTTCTGTTGCAATGCTTTGTTGAATTTGTACTCGAAGGGAGGATTTGTTAGTTCGGCCATGAAATTGTTCGATGATATGACTGATCCAGATGTGGTTTCTTGGACCATCATGATTTCAGGTCTAGAGGTGGGTGGCCATATCAGTGATGCTTTTGAGGTTTTCAATTCGATGCGGATGGCTGAAGTGGAGCCTAACTCTTTCACTTTTGGTACTTTGATTGGTTGCTGTGCAAATGTTAATGCATTTGATATTGGAAAGCAATTTCATGCCCTTGTTCTTAAGAATGGGTTGGAACTTGATGTTGTTGTAGGGAGCACAATTGTGAATATGTACTCAAAATGTGGTGAGATAACTGATGCTCTGAGACTCTTCCAGAGCTTGCCTGAGAGGGATATCGTTTCCTGGAATGGTGTTATTTGTGGGCTTGCTCAGAACGGAGAAACTACCACAGCCCTACAATTATTTGATGAGATGGTTCAATTACGCCTGAATGACATAATGCCAAATCATGTCACTTTTGTCGGTGTCTTGACTGCATGCTCCAGAGCAGGGCTCATCCGCAAGGGTTGCAGCATCTTCAATGACATGGTTGATGTGTACTCATGTGAGCCCCAAGCTGAGCATTATGCTTGTATGGTCGACTTATTTGCACGCTCAGGATTACTGGAAGAAGCAGAAGTTATTATTCAATCCTTGTCGACTGAGCCTAACATTATACTCTGGGGAGCACTACTTGGAGCATGCAAAAGCCGTGGAAATCTTGTCATGGCAAAGCGCATTGTAAAACGACTTTATGTGTCTGAACCAATGAACTCATCCAATTATGTGCTTCTCGCGAATCTGTATGCTGCTAACAAAGAGTGGGATGATGTGTTCAAGGTTAGAAATAAGATCTCTACAATTGGAGTTCAAAAAGTAGCTGGGAGTAGTTGGGTTGAAATCAGGGGAAAAGTTTATTCTTTTACATCAGGTGATGCACATAATGCAGAGACCTAATCTCTGGTGTGCTGCAGATACTGTCGTCGGTAATGTTGGAGGGTGACGAAGTGGCTTAATTAGCACTGAATGGACTGTGGGTGATGCAACTATTCCCTTGAGGTTACTCCCACCATTCAATGCAGTTAACAGTAGGGCTCAATCCGCATTTGTTATGGTTGATGTTGTTGGCATTTGACAAGCTTATTTTCCTTGCTTCAAGTCACTAACATTTTCTGGTTAACAGAGCATCAGAACAAGTAATAGATAGATAAGTGTACTTCAGACTGATATGTTCAAGGCTGCTATAGTTATACCCTCAATGTAGCAATATGACTTTGCTTGGTGCACCAAACTTCAAAGAACATGGATGGTCAGCAGGAGTTGGGGAGTGTGGAAATGGATATCGACTGAGGATTGTCATGAAAGGCAACAAGTGCAATAAGGGTATTGGAAACACAGTTACGGATGAAGTGCTGATGACTACTAGAGCAGCTCAGGAAAAGGTTTGCTGACAAACAGATGCATAGAGTCAGAACTGCTCTGATGGCCGATTTATGTACTCTGAATGACTTATCGAGCAGAAAAAAGAAAAATGCATCTGCAAAGGTCGTATCGATATTCTAATTCATTTGTTCTTCATAGCTACGTACATGGAGATTTTCGTATTGCAGTCTCTGGTAACCCTTCTGCCAAAACTAATTCTACGTGGTGGTATAATACAATAGGAAGAACAAAAATGCAAGATTTTAGCGTTATGTTTTAGCCATTACATCTTAAACAACTCTTCACTAGTAAATCAATTGAATAATCAAATAGCAGCTGGAGCTTAGACGAACAGATCTAGTTCGATTCATGTACAAAATTGGTTCAGGTCTAAAAATCTGAGTCAAAGAACATTTATTGTCTTTTTTTATGATTCATTTAGGGCATTTTGATCGAAACAAGAAATGGGGGGGTGCAATCTGGTATAAGTCCATCATTAGAGATTTGTTTTGATAAGTTGCCTTATTTATACCCTTTTCATCGTCATATCTCGTGCTTTCTGATTCTATGAATCAAATCTTTAGGTGCGTCTGATCAGCAGGATATTGAATCTTCAGAAGATACCCATCATCCCATCTCTTTGTAGAATACCTCCATCGCTACTCTATAATCCTCGAGAGACAACATCACCTCAGGAACAAGCGAACATGGCCAACAAGGCTATCCTCACAGCATGTCTGTTGCTGATGCTCTTGGTGATAGCCTTCGGTGAGTCTCCATGGATTGCATACATTTCTCTTCTCCATGGAGTTCTATCTGAACATTGCAGACATTTCTCTTCTCCATGGATTGTTTCTGCCTAATGATTTAGTGGATTTTGACACGGCACTGTTGCTCTCCTTGCAGGTGTCCAATGCGCCATGGCTGCTCAAGTCCAAGAAGGCGCATGCATCGTTGCCAGCGACTGCAAATGCGATGAAAATTGCTACACCAATTGCCTTGGCGGTCATTGTTACTGTATCTGCTAGTATCTAATAATATCAACTTGTCTTCGTCTGCAACCAATAAACTCTGCTCCTCCTTGTACTTCTTCTTCTTATTGCACGTTTAATGTCCTACGGACTTTCCTAAACGAAGGAGATGGACCATTTAAATTGACTGCTTTTGTTGCATCATGTGATCTCGAGGCCTTTTCTCTCTCTCTCTCTCTCTCTCTCTCTTTCGTATTAATACTTGAAACCAAGAACAATTAGGACTCACAAAAATGTTAAAATTAAACTTATAAAGGCATCGACAAGGTTATTGTATCCATCAAAGACCTATAGAATAATAAATCAAATTAACTATTTATTTTAACATTTGGTATTAGAACTCAATTTAAGCTATGACGTCTTTCTCAATCACTATCCAACCCCAAATCCTTAAATTGATAAAAGAAAGAAATTTATGATATATGTCTGGTCGAGGTCGTAGACATGATAGAATTTCTAAAAGATCTAAAATACAATATTATGTTTACAAAATATATACTACTACTCCTTTTGAATGTTACTATAATCATAATAATCAAGATGATAAGACAAACTTTGTTGAAAAAACAAAGAAGAATGAAAACTATGTTTTGCTAATGACTTATAATAATTTCAAAAAAGATACAAGAGCTTCTTTTAATAATTTCTAAGCACATGTGTGGCATTAAAAAACTTTTTTTTGAAATAGCTATAAGTTATTTCAGTGATATGTCGAATTGACTAATTAGTTAACTCAACCTCTGGCCATGCGCTACTTATCATTATGAACATCTTCTTGGGTTATAATTAGATTAGTATGATATCAGACGATAAAGAGCATTCTTAATTAATTATTGATTGACGGTTGTACTACTGTAAAGTCATATCCTTTCGACTCAAGAAAGTCAAAGTAATGTACCAAAGGATAATTAATAAAATATGTGAGTCCCACCAATGTTAGGTGACCTTGATCTTGCTTCAAGAGATTTCACTCTCTGTTCAATAGCTAGATCCCAAGGATCCAATGCCCCAAATCACCCAAACAGTCAAGAATGGCATGGCTCAGACCAAAGAGAAGAAGATCAAGCTCATTAACTTCCTATGCCATATCTCAAAAGTCTTTGCATGGATGACAAGCAATGTGCCTGGGATTGACCAAGCCATGCACAATAGAAGCTCATTCCTAGCATGTTCGATAGAAGCCTAGAAGATTTACGTTGGATCGACAAGCCATTATTAAGGAAGAAGCCAATAAGTTGTATGCTCATTTCATCCACAAGCCATTTTTAGTGACTCAAATTGACTAACTAGTCGACTCGGCCTCTAGTCATGAGCTGCTCACCTTCATCAATGTCTTCTTGGGTTATAATTAGATTAGGATGGTACCGAGGACAAAGAGCATATTTCATTCATTACTGATTGAGGGTTGTACTACTATAAAGTCATATCCTTCAAACTCAAGAATATCAAAGCGATATATCAAAGAATAATCAATAAAACCTTAAATAGGAAGAAACATAGAGGTGTATGTCAATAATATGCTGGTCAAGAGTCGAGCATCTTATACCCACTTAACTAATATGGGAGAGGCCTTTGCACTCTCAAGAATTTTCAAATGCAATTGAACCCCTCAAATTTGCCTTCGATGATGGCTCGAGCAAATTTCTTGGATTTAAACTCCATCAAATTGGGATTGATACCACCCTCGATAAGGTGCAGGCCATTCTCAACAAGAAGCCACTGACCTCTATAAAGGAGGTGCAACGATAACTTTCGATATATTTTTCCATTAGTTTTCACATATATTTATTAAACTTAAACTCAATACGTACTCTAATCGCTTCTCTATCGCATATGTCATGTATTAAAATTCTTCTAAAAATGAATGATATGACTCTAGAAATATTTCATTTACTATCATAAGGATTTCTAGATTAATTATCAATGATGATACTTAAAGAATTATAATGTACACTTATTTTCTCAACAAAAAAGAAATCATTCTCACGTCTCTCTCCCCTCAATTGCTATTACTATAAATAATATAGAAAAAAATTTAGTAGTTACTATCGTCAAAACACTAGGGTACTTTCTAGACATCGAAGAGCCCTTGATCGAAATCCCATTAGATTCGATCAGACCTCACCAAACATTCAAGATTGAATCTCTTGAAATGTACCTTTGACGTTGGCACAAGCAAATTCCTCGGATTTATGGTCCATCGAATCAAGATTGACGCCAACTTAGATAAAGTACAAGTCGTCCTCAATATGAAGTCGGCCTCTAAAAATGAGGTGCAATGATAACTTCCGATATATTTTTGCATCAATTTTTATACAAAATCATTAAACTTGAACTTACTAGGTTTTCTCGTGATAGTCTAGAAAACTCTAGCTGCTTCCTATCGTGTGTCATAAAGATAGTACTTTCTTGTGACCTAAAATAAAATATTTTAATCATTCCTCTAATTGGTGTACAGGACCCACCAATTCAACTAAATCGTAAAAGGCTCGAACTTTGTTTATAAAATATTAACGAAGAATTAATACGCATTGATTTGGATTTGCATGTCGTGGATATGGATGTTAACGGACAATCTTTAGTTATACATCATCTACCCGCATTGACCACCGAGATACCACTACCTTCTCACTCCTAAGACTCAAAATCATTGGTGATACATCATGACCACCAAGATACTGCCTTCTTGGTCTAAGAATTAATTCTCTAGTGATGCATTATCTACATGTATTGACCAATAAGATACTACAATCTTCTCATCCTAAGAATCGGATCTTATGTATGCACCATCTCCATGCATTGTCCGTCATGATACTGTCTTCTCGTTCTAAAACTTAAAATCTTTGTGATGTGATACATCATCTTCTAATTCTAAAACTTAAAAATCTTCTATCGTACTTCATCTACCTTATATTTATATTTTTACCTTTTCCATGATCATGCCATTGGGGACTATGTCATTGGAAACTCGTACATTTTGATTCTATGAATCAAATCTTTAGGTGCGTCTGATCACCTAGGATACTAAATCTTTCAGAAGATATGCATCATCTCTATGTAGAACCGCCTTCACTATTAGATAAAGCCCCATAATCCTCGAGAGACAACATCACCTCAAGAACAAGCGAACATGGCCAACAAAGCTATTCTCACAGCATGTCTGTTGCTGGTGCTCTTCGCGATAGCCTTCAGTGAGTCTCTTTGTTCTTCTATCTAAGCATTGCATAAATTTCCATTCTCCATTGATTGTTTCTGCCTAATGATTTAGTGGATTTTGACATGGCACTGTTGCTTCCCTGCAGGTGTTGAATACGCCACGGTTGCCCAAGCCCAAGGACTATGCAGCGTCAACGGGGATTGCAAATCTTTCTGTGGGAAATGCATCCCCAAGTGCATTTCCGGTCAATGTTCCTGTATGTGCTAGTACCTAATCATATCGACTGTTCTTCCCCTGCATCCAATAAACTCGTCCATTACTCCTCCTCCTCCTCCTCCTCCTTTTATTGCACATGTATTGTCCTACAGACTTGCATAAATGAAGGAGATGGACCATTAAGTTGACTTCTTTCGTTTCTTCGTGTGGATACATCACTTAAATGTGTTCGAAAACTATATCTCATCAACTCTCAAGCGCTTTATCCCTTGTTTCTTTTGCGTATTGGTGGTTGAAACCAAGTATTAAGTATATATGGAGGAGAAGTATGCAAATATTTGAACTTACATTTACAATGCGTGATCCATAGTGAAGACAACATGCATATTACTTCACCATTGTGTGCTTAGTTATATGCTTCTTGTCCACGCAAAGCATCTGTTTATTTCGTGTGTGTATACAGATATATATTATACTCTTCTTCTTCCTTTTCCTTTACATGGTCATGCCATTGGGACCCTGTAACCCGAAACAAAACACCAGAGTCCTTTCTAGGGTTAGTCAGTCGGTAGCAAGATGACGACCAAGGGAGATGAAGAGCCAGCTCACTTACTTCCACATTTAGTTCCACGCTCCAGAGGGCGCCCGAAGCACTTGCTGACGAGGACGACCTTCTTCATGCCGATGAACCTGTCCATCGGTTTCGTGGTGTGCTTGCAGACGCACGGGATATCCCCAACCGGATGGCTCTGCAGCACCGGAGAGCCTCCGACCCGAACGAACTGGTAGCACCGGTCCGCCAGCACCTTAAAGTCCCCTCCGCAGACCTTGGGAAAACGGAAGGCGTTGCAGAGCAGGGGACCATCGACGACGACGAAGGCCAAGAACACGGTCCAAATGATTCAAGTATATGTATAAAAAGGAACCCATCAACTCGAGAGAGGCTCTTGATATACTAACTAAGTCATACAACCGACACTATTATCTTATCACTTTCATTAATTTAAGCATCGAAGGAGTCAATACTCAACAAACCCCGGATGTCAATGGTGAACGATGTATTCCGAAGAGGTTTTTATTAAATTGGACAAAATAAGTTACAAAAGCGGATGCCATCTCGAATGGGAGGTCATAAACTGGGAGCTAATAAAAATAAAAAGGAGGGTCACTAGGACCCAATTGCATCAAGCCGGAGGAGACAGAGCCGAAGGAGATGTTGGGCAATTGTCGAATGAAACATCTACAAGAGCATGCACTTTAGCGTCCTAAGGAAGCTCTGCACAAGGGTCCTTATTGACCTCGAGTTCAGGGTACCTCACCTTGAAGCGACCGGTGGCGATCTAGCATATGCAGCTTGGCTGGGGCACCAGAGGCCACATTGGAACCCCTCGGATTCCTTATAGGAGGCCACAACCCTCCTCTCTCGCTTAACGACTTGGTTTTTCTCCTCCTCCCAAGCCTCTTTCGCCTCCTCAATTGCTAGATGGGCAATCATCAACTCATCAGAGTTGATCGACAGTCGCTCCCTCAACTGGCTACCCTCCTCGACGACCTCACCAAATTGCTAGCAAGTATCTCTCAACTCATGACATTTGACTTCAACCCGCTCCTCGCCCTTCGCCACACTTTCTGTGGCCTCATCTTTAGTGGCTATCGCCATGTCCTGAGCCTCCTCCGCCCGTGCCTTGGCTTCTTTGACACGATGGATGGTTAGGCCCAGATCCAAGTACAGTTCAGAGGTCTCAACCTTCGCCCTCATGCGTGCCCCCGTAAGGTATTGCTTCGCCTCCTCGGCTTGGGGGCAGGCTCGAGTGAGCTGCAAGGATAGGTTTGTAACTTGGGCCTCCACTGCCCTCTTCTCTTCATCAGACTACTTTGCTTGGGCCTATAGGGCGGAGTTGGCCTAGGAGAGCCGGTTGATCAGTGCCCCCATGTCCTACAGACCATCAACAAGCGTCATCATATAGTGGTGGTGTTGTACAAAGGTAGGAGCAAGGTGGTTAAAGAGGAAGACCAAAGAAAATAATAGATATGCTCAAGGAAAGGGCCTTAACAAGACTTCATTACGAGAATAGTAGGTCCACTAGGACGAGGCTAAGCGACCCCCAATAGTAGGTCACGGTCGACCCAACCTCCTCCTATAGTCGCTGGTTCTTGGTCAACCCCTCCCAATGTGGCTTCACTGGGGCACCTAGAGATGGAGCCATGTAGCTGGGCTCAGTAACATAAGATGAGTAGGAGGCGAAGAAGCTTTATTCCACCGAGGCATCAACAGATGGAGGTGGGGTGACGATCAGTAGACTCTTTGTAATGCTCTTCTTTTTATTTGCACCATTGTTTAAAAAAGACTCTTGCTTGCTGTTAGCATCATCCTTCTTCTCTTTATTGTTATCATTATTCTTTTTCTTATTTATAAAAAGGACATCTCTATCTCCCCCTGAAATAGAAGCTCCCGCTATTTGACGAGCTAAGGATTCCTAAGAAATAAGAAGATTTTTTAACTCTACTAAGGATGTTTATTGAACCTATCATTGAATAGATGTAACATAAGGAATATATTCTTTTCGAAGACCATGAATAATATAACGTTTTATTCATGCATAAGAAATAACGTTATTTGGATCTAAGAGTCATATTTCTGAATATAAATTTTTAATCTTCAAAAAATACTAAGAAATTGAGATATCACCTTGGATAGTATTTGCCAAATCATTAGTCAGAGTCATATTCTTTTGGTTGAGCAATATATCAAGAGTGATCCAAATCTTTAAAGTTGATTTGCAACGAATAATATGTAGAAAGAGATCATGAGAAATAAATCTATTTAATACAAATTCAACTTTTACATTTAAAGTCCTTCGTCTCTTTGTGATGTCTCCGTTTGTGGTGTTGTTGTATTGTTACTAATCATATCCCATAAATCTTTCTTTATTGGATAAGACTCCAAATATGTCTTCCAGATCTTATAGTTAGACTAATTAAGAAATTCAATACCAAATTTACCAACTCAATTATAATATTTTATAATTCAAAACGATTATCTTCTTTACTAAGTAAATCTTAAAAATATAAATTATCACCCTTACGGCTCTCTGATATAATGTGAAAGAAGAAAGGATCACATGCAAGTGTAACACTTTCTCATATAATAATAATAAGATACTATTAGTCCAAGATCAAACTAAATAAAAGAAGAATCGAAAAAGAAAAAAATTTTGAACTTAAATACACTTATAAATCTTAAACCTATTTTAGACTTGAGTTGAATACCTAAGGTTAAGATTTTTTATTAACATCACATATGTAAAATATAAGATTTTCTAATCTCTACAACTCTATCAATTTATTTGAAATCTTCTGAAATATAATTTAACTAAGAATTCTTTATTTTTAAAATTTTATCTAATTTTATTTAAAAATATAAAATATTAATTTATGATCTTTAAAAATATACTCTAATTTCTTTTTAACACATCCAGAAATCATCATTATTATTAACAAACATCGCACCTGGCCACACCTTTTTCTTCTCTATATTTATCTTGAGTAGAGTCTGGAAAAGACATCTTAGTAGTCCGCGCTGTCAACTCCGTACCTATCTCCTACATTTCTTTTCTCGTAATCATCCTCATGCCGCAACCTCTCTCTCTCTCTCTCTCTCTCTCTCTCTCTCTCTCT